CTTCTTATCTTTACAGTCTTTATTTCTGGTGTCGGAGCTTGGACTGGTGAAATCCATGGCAGAGTTGTTTGTGATGTCTGTGGTGACTCCTCCGTTGGACCTGAAGATCATGTTCTAGAAGGTCCTTTCTTTCTCTCTTTGCTCAAATCAGCCCAACAGCCATTTGTTTTTGTAATTATGTGTTGCTTGGTGAAAATTTTGAACTGGGTTTTTGTGTTTGGCTTGTGATTTTTATGGGTTGGTGGCTATGATCATTTCTCATCTGTGCGTTTTGAGTCTTGGCTTGGTGGTGATGATCATCATGTTTTTTGCTACAATTTTTCATTTTGTCCAATTGATTTCTTTGTTTTTTTTCTTTTGATGAGTTTGCGAGCTTGTTTATGAGCTTAATTAGATCACCCTGAGATGATTTTTCTGAGACATTAACAAATTGAAAATTGCTCTGGTTTTAATGCTGTTTGATGATTTTGCCCAATCTGAATAAGTTATTATTGTAATGTTCTGCATTCCTTTATCTTTCTAATGGTTTTGCTTTCAGTAATATAATTGATGTGTTGGAATACTTTTCTCTCATAGATATAAAGACATAAAATTTGTGTTTTCGCTTAATCCTATAAACGATTACTAATCTTTTAAATATTTAAGAAGTCCCCTTTTTGTCATCTCTAGCATGAAATTTGATCTGATAATTGCAGAAATCAATGTGAAGCAACAGTGGATTTTGAATTTATAGTCTACCTGTTTTGTATAACTACTAGTACCTTCCAACAACAGTTTTTTATATCCTCGTTATGAATTTATATAATTGAGCTATGTTCTTGAATCTTATCGAAACGATATTTACCTTTTATGTTAAAGTTATACAGGTGGAACACTGATTTATGTCATTGAACTGCACAAGGTCTTCCAATATTCCCATCTGAACTTGTTGCCTAAATGTTTTCATTCACATTTACATTTCATCAAGATTACCTTGTGATAGCTTACAATCAAGAAGCGATGCTCCATGTACTTAAAATAGTTGATAGTAGGCTTAGAAATCGAAAGTGGTATTTAATTAGGCAGGAGAAGCATGATATTTAGACTTATATTGGTCTTGGCCAATTGCTATCTAGGTGTGGAAGGCAAACATCTTGTTGAGTAGGAAACATGTTGTAGTTTTGAAAACTTCAGAGAAATTATTCTGAATAAAAAATTTCAATCCAAAATATGAAAGAAAATGTGTTGACAACCTGGTTCATGGCTTCTAGGTTCCATTTTAAATTTTGAACATAGGATTTCAGTGTTTTCAGATATGAAGGGCTGTTCTCTCGTTGTACATAGAAACTTTGGTTGTACAACAAAAAGAAAGAACTTGACATCATTGCTGAAGTACTGACAGGCGGCAGCATTGCCGAAATACATTTTTCACTTGAGCCGGAGGAAGATCTTGTTGGATTAAGTTCAATCCTTTGGGAACATTAGGAAATCCTCACCAACACAGTACATAAACCATTTTTCTTTTTCATGAATCTGATACAAGTTAGGACTTTTACCCAGAACTTATAGACCATGAACAAAATGCCAAAATATTTTTATTTATTTTTCAATGAATTTAGTCTCTTTCAGACTTTTTTCTTTGATGATTTCATCTATTGGATTTTGTTTTTAAATGCAATAGAGATATTATGATAAGTTCACATCCATGTGATTTGTGGTGACTTTTATCATTTGAAGCTGGTAATGAAATTAAAAAGTTTAGTGTGTGTTTAAGCTTTGTAACTGCTATCTAGGATGCAATTACAATGCTAGATCAGTGTATATGTGGAACTTTGACATTCTTGCATTTGTTTTTCACTTTGGATGTGGCCGAATTGAATGGTTTTGACCCTTGATAATGTTATGATGCAGGTGCTGAGGTAGCTGTTCTATGCATTACAAAATCAGGGGAAGTTCTAAATTACCAGGCATTCACGAATGATAAGGGGATATATACAGTGGCAGAGACAATGCCTGAGAGCGACCGCTGGGATGCATGCCTGGCCCGGCCCATCAGCAGCTTCCATGAGCATTGCACTCATGTTGGGGATGGTAGCTCAGGAGTAAAGTTCAGTTATAATCACCCATCAGGCTATTCGCACACCGTCAGAACTTTCGTCTATCGACAAGCAAGTGTACCAGCATACTGCATTTGAGAATTCTGAGTTCAATGTACATCTATATTGTTTAGTTGCAATATAAGCTTGCTTTTACTGAAATGCATTCATCACACAATGGGAGTGATTAAAGGGCATGTGTGAGGCTAATGCTGTAATGTAGTTTATGATGAACATAGTTCATGTTAGTTTAAACCCAATCCTTGATTGGAATAATATACATAACCCTAGAGGAAGCAACATAAAAATTTAGGCTTGTTTACTTGTTAGGAAAGTAGCTTTGGTAGATCCAAGGTCAGCATCTAATCAGTCATGGCACTGTCTTAGGAGCTTGATCGATTGTAAGAGATTTAAAGTTTATCATGTCATAGGCCAGTTGCATCTGGAGGTTTGAGATTGGAACAGAGGACGTATATCATAAAACCTTGCTAATCACCGTATTTATTTTGAACATCTATAGAAGGGAACACTGGTCCTTTACAAACTTACAATTTGTGCAGTAAATTCCTGCGAAGTTATCTCATATTTCATAAAATGCGTTGTTTGGCTCCTTAAAACTGAGGAGCTCCTCATAACAAATGTGATTATCGCAATTACAATTAGGTAAATGCTCATAATCACTTGAGTTATAATTTACAAACTTTTTGCTACGATATTCTCGTAATTAAGTGAAGGTACGCCAAAATAATGCCATTAATCGGAAATAATCTAGGAGATTGCTCAGTCTTGGGTTACCCTTTTTGGGGAGAAACACTTGCATGCACTTGTTGTCCTATTCCCCTCCAATCACAGTCCGACACGTGCCCATTTTCTGACAAAGTTGGACACGTGGCGGGCTACGATTGGAGGGGACAGGACTGTTGTCCTATCCCCGGTGCAGGCAAGTTTTTTCCTTTTTGGGGGACTGCCTGTGATACATGCTCATGCGTCAAAGATACCTCCAGAAAAAAAAATCATTTTCCAAGAATATTTGATCTACCCAAAAAAAGTCATGATCTACGGCTGGGACACCATCCACTTGGTGACAGACTTATAGTGGGCCCGAGTGCTGAGGTGTCGATAAATGGGAGGATCGCTGGACGTGGCCAAAAGCCATACAAACTATATAAGTAACCCCCACCAAAATGTCGAGAAGCTCCACTTGAAAAGGTGACTGTATACTACAAGTAAGATACGAACGAGGGGCATAAATGTCAGTCCAACAAATATTTTCCCAAAGCAACCGTTGAAAGACTCCTAAAGGGAAACTGAAATAACTTGAATTGTCTTCAGTTTGATATTAGACGTAGAAAAGAGGGTCCATTTGGGCGAGCTCAAACTCGAAGCCCCAGAGAAAATGATACAATGGCTGAAAAGGTTAAGAGCTGCATTTGGAGCCTCATTTCTCTGGCTCGTTTGCTTGGTTTACTTCACCCAGGTTTTTCATTCTCTTCCCTCTCTATCTCTGAGATGATAAATTTATGTTCTTGGTGTACATAAAACCTCTGTGTTACTTTCTTTTGTTGATTTGTGAGGAATTTAATCTTTTGGGTCATTATATTATGCTGTTTTTTGTGTTTCTAGGAGGTGGAGATTTGTGATTCTAGATTTTTGGGTTGCTGGGTTGTGTGTATTTATTGATTTTGGATGATTTTGAGAAAGATTTTGTATGGGAAATGCTCTGTCCTTGTTAAGAAGTTTCTGATGTTATTAGTAGGCAGGTGAATTTTGTTTGATTTTAAAGCATCCCATATGGAAATGGTGTACTGTTAATGAAACAATTTCTTTTGTGTTGCTGTAAGAAAAATCGATATGGTAATTGATATGTACCTGTTTGATATATTGTAGGGTTTTAGATCCTTTGTATGGACGGCAGTTTCTTACCAGCTGAAAGATAGGCTTAAGTTGTCACCCTCATCTTCCCAATTTGTGTTTTCAATTGCTTTCTTCCCATGGAGCATTAAACCATTATACGGGTAAGGATCTTCTTTTACTAAGTACAAGCGCTGGGAACAAGTTTTGTTTTAGATGTGTTCATGGATCTTCTAGATAACAGATTTGCTTATTTACATTTATGCCATTTATACTTGAATTCAAATATCTGTCCTAAGTTTTTAATGCAGTTCTAGTTGGATCATGTTGTCTAATGACGTTGAAAAAGGTTCCATCATTAGTCTTCTTAGAAATTCAAAGCACAACTTAATCCTCACAGTGAAGTCATTTAGAAGCAAATTTGGAGTAATTTAATGAAAATGGAATCATCACTTAATGTGACGAAAGAAAAGGATATCGATAATAATGAAGGATGTGCATGATGATTTTGCTTATTTTATTTATTATTATTTTTTAATAATTGTATTTCATCCTAAACATAGAATCTCTATTGTTGTTCTGAGTGTGGACATGCTTCATTTTATTTATTTATTTATATTCTCAATATTCCTGCATACAACACATTTCATATGAGTGCATGAGCAAATACTAGTTGGACATGAAAATTAGCAGTCTGAATGACAATTGTACTTGTTATAAAAACATAAAAAGAATGGCTATTATACCTATTGCATGTCTTCAATGTTTGTAGTCCAGACATTGAAGTTGCCTTTTTTGTGTTAACAGTTTCTTATTGGTCCTATGAAATCTGATTGCATGTCTTATTTGCAGAATTGTGTCTGATTGTATTCCAATAAAAGGAAGAAAAAGGGTTCCATACTTGGTGATTGCAACTGTGCTCTCTCTTGTGCCATGGCTTATCCTTGGCCTGAATGCAACGTTGAGGAGTTCCAAATGGAACCTCATGACCTTCTTAACAGTCCAGAACCTGGGCTCAGCCATGGCAGATGTAGTAGTTGATGCAATGATTGCTGAGGCAGTAAGACGTGAGCGGTACGCACACAAACTGAGATTCTTCCCATTTCTTTGCAATGCAGTTTGAGTTGCATATTGAGTATCCTGCAAGATTATTCTCTGGACAATATAAATCTGTTGGCATACAACCACATGAACTGCTTAACTTGTTCTCGCCTTATTTTGGGAGTTTAGCATGAGTATTGCTGCCCCAGGGCCTCATTTGCCGGAGACCAAAAGAAGATGGCTATTTTTTCATTTCCCCTATTTCTACTGCTAGTTTGTCTGGTTGATCAGGGATCTACTTCATTTTTAGTACCTCTCACGGATTTTTTCATTCCCCTTCTTAATCTGTTCAAGGATACAACTTGATATCTTAAAATTACCCTATTTCTACTGCTAGTTTGTCTGGTTGATCAGGGATCTAATTCATTTTTAGTACCTCTCACGGATTTTTTCATTCCCCTTCTTAATCTGTTCAAGGATACAACTTGATATCTTAAAATTACCTTTATCAGGGCCTTATTTGCTGGGGACCTCCAGTCGATATCATGGTTTTCAATGGCTTTGGGCGGCATATGCGGGAGTTTGTCAGGAGGATATGCACTAACCAACTTACAGATACATACGATTTTTCTTCTTTTTTCTGTACTACCATCCATACAGTTGTTATCATGTGGCTTGGTTGAGGAGAAATCTGTTACTGTAGATAGTAAAGTTTTGCCCGAATTTTATGACTCAAGTAGTGTTGATGGGGTGAATGGAAATAGTAGTTTTCTAGATGAAGATAGTTTCTCAGAGAAGAAACCCAATAGCAGCATGATAAGGAGAAAGAAAAGTAGTAAGGGCGGCAAAAATAAACGAGTTACTGGTAAAAGCCAGATTGCTGAAAAAGTTGACTCGTTGCCTTCACGGTGGTTCCGCTCTCTCAAAGCAGCCACTTTAAGTTTGTGCCATGCATTTAAACAACCACTCATTTTGAGGTAATTCCATTATTTATTTATGTATTTATTTATATGGGTTTCTTTACGTGGCTGTTGAAAACACAATTTAAGGTTTTTCCTCTCTAGGGGCGTTGCCATTGTTACACAATGAGATGATCTGGTCACTTAATAGAAATTCCAAGTGGTCTAGAATAATCCTTGGAGAATGGGTGGTCAAATCATCTAATAGGATTTCTGTACATAAATTTATGGGGAAGTAAAGTTTAAATGTTTTTGCCCATTGTGGTACATGGTCTTCAAGCCAATCTAAATTGTTTCTCTGGAGATATAATTTGCTATTTTTCTTATATGTGGATATATTATAATTTTTAATCTTTGTTACTTTTGGTTTTACTTTGTTTGAGCTCAGACCAATGGCTTGGTTTTTCCTAGCACATGTTTCCATTCCAAACCTCTCGACTGTGATGTTTTATTATCAGACAGAGTTTTTGAGCTTGGAAGCCTCCTTTTTGGGCACTGCACGTGTTGTGGGATGGTTAGGCCTCATGCTTGGAACCTTTGTATATAATCAGTACTTAAAGACAATGAAATTAAGAAGGATCCTCATGTAAGTACAATGCATTTCTGTTAATATTTTTACTGTAAATGGATTCCTTTTTGTTGAAATTATTTTATTGATGATGATTTTTCTGTCCTGATCCTTGCAGGTTGTCTCATGTTGGTTTGTCTTTCTTGGGTCTCCTAGATATGGTTTTAGTCTCTCGAGTAAATCTCACCTACGGAATATCAGATAGAATTATGGTGCTTTGTGGCTCAGCTCTCAGTGATGCAATCAATCAATTCAAGTACGTACATACTTGCTCATAGCAGTTTTCTTCTGTAATTCACGAAACAAATTATGGGACTCAGAAAATATGAAAGTGTGTAATGCTTTTACCCTTTGTATCTTACAAACATGCAAAATTCCATAAACCGCTGCAGGTTTATGCCATTTCTGATCTTATCTGGACAGCTATGCCCACCTGGAATTGAAGGGACTCTGTTCGCCCTCTTTATGTCGATAAACAACTTAGGGTCAACATTGGGGTCATTTGTCGGTGCCGGGGTGGCTTCAACTTTAAACATCTCTTCAGGTTCTTTTGACAACCTTCCTCTGGGAATTGCCATTCAAGTTCTCTGCACTTTCATTCCTGTTGGTTTTCTATTTTTGATACCAAAGGAAGTTACAGGGGTATCGGCGTAGCTAGCAAATCTCTTTTTCAACACAGAATAGGTTTCCTAGTTAGTGAAAATGAATAGAATATACATATGTTTTTCGAAGTCTTCTCCACTGGATTCATGTCTACAGAACAAAAGTTGAGATTTCTTTACGGATGCACACTACAATTTTGAAGTTATAGCTACTTATGAATGACACATTGACATTTAGAGCTTGCTTTGCCGATAAACATGTGTATAAATTTTTAGCACATTTCTGGTCTGGAATGAAATTTGAAATGTAGAAACAATTGCTGTTGTGAATACGTGCTGGAATTTTTTGGTAGGACAATTGAAAAATCAAGGAGTGGCGAAATCACTGGAGTTAATTAACACTGGTGATCAACTGCTCTCAAATTAAATAACACTCCAAATTGTTATTAGGTTGATTTGGGATTGAAGTTGATAGGAATTCAGAGTGTTATTAGATTGTTATTAGGTTGTTTTGGAATTTAGTTGAAAGAGGAATAAGAAAGATTGATTAACAATTGGTTTTTATTTATTTATTTATTAAAAGCGAAAGTAATTTTATTGATAACACAGAAAAAAGTATAGAGTAGCATCAATGCCAAATATGAGTACAATATCTCTAGGGATGGCAAATATGAGATATAATATCTAATGACCAAAGACAAAAATAAATTGGTATTTTAAAGTCAAAGGACCAAATACAGTTGTTTTGGCTATTAATTTGGCCTTGAAATCAATAAAGAAACTAATTAAAAAGTAGGTATTGAATAGTAAGTAAAGCTGTTTTTTTTTTCTTTTTTTGGGTGAAAATAGTAAGTAAAGCTTTTCATAAATAATCTCAACATAGTAAAAAAGAGATCATCAAGTCTTGGGTCTTGCTCAAGTGATTTTATATTTGGGAGATTCACTATTAAAAAAAATCCTACATGAAATGGATTTTAAAAACACACTCAAAGTTCATTTACAAAATAACAAAGTGGTGTCGAACTTCTTATAAATTACTGTCACCGTGTATGATTAGGTTAAAGCACAAATAAGGGATTGGTCTTCGACTATACTTTTTATAGAAGCCCCAAAACCCTAACCCTCCTGTTGGAACTTGAGCAGTCTTGGGAAATCGAAAACAAGGATGTCAGTCCACTTACCTGACGAAATCATAGACAAAATCCTTGTCAGGTTGGACCCAAAATCTTTGATCAAATTCAGTGCAGTGTGCAAGTCATGAAGGTCTCTAATCAAAAGCCCTACTTTCATCCACACCCACCTCAGCCGCACAATCCAACCCAACAACCAAAACGACTCTCACCTTTTACTACTTATCTCCACGAAAGCGGACACTGGTATGATTTACTCTTTCCGTTGGGACAATCCCGAGTTCAGTGAGTATACCCGGCTTATCGACCGTTTCGCTGACAATGAAGAACGTTCAGCCTGGTATCTCAACGTGGTTGGGACTTGTAACGGGCTCGTATGCCTTTCCTTAGGTTACAATAAACTAAGAATTTGGAATCCCAGTGTTAGAAGGTTTGTGATTCTGCCAAGCCCTATTTCTGAGTATATAGCTAGGTATGCCTTTGGCTATGATTCGCGTAACAACGACTATAAGGTTTTGAGAACTGTTAATTTACCTGGGCAGACCGAATGTTATCAAGCAGAGATTTGGTCCTTAGCTCGGGGCTCGTGGAAGAGTCTTGGAGTTGGAAGTACTGGTCGAGGCTTTTTATCTGAACTCATCCAACAGCCTGCTTTTGTCAATGATGCTGTGCATTGGGTTCAACTTAATACGACGAAGGGGGAAAATGGAATTATGTGGTTTGATATGGTGAGTGAATCGTTTGGCGAGACTAGGATTCCCCAATGCGTGACAAAAATGCTAATGCTTACCTTAAGACATGATGAGAACCTTGCCTTGCTTACATGGGATTCTGCAAGCGTAGACCATCCTTGTTCTTATGACCTATGGGTGATGAAAGAGTATGGTGTCGAGGAGTCGTGGACTAAACTATTCAGTGCTCGCCATCAAGAATTTATAATAAGGCCATTATGTTGGAGAAATAGTGGTGAAATAGTGTTCAAAATGTTTGGTGGAGGTCTCCTTTCGTTGGACGTTCAGACTGAACAAAAAAAATATCTTACAAGGGATGGAAACGATTGCTACTTCTTGGATTATTATGTAGAGAGTCTTGTCTTGCTTGGGGAAGCCAACGCAATTTCTTACTGAGGAGCAACCAAGAAGTACGCCTTCAAATTCTTGCAACATATATGCACATGCACTCATGGTGAAACTTCGATTGAATTTCACTTTAATCAGTTTTTTTTTTTCTTGTTCTTTCTTTTGATAATTTCAGATATCTTTTATTTTCACTCTCGTTGCAATGTAGAGACATTTTGCATTCTCAAGTGGCCACACGCATGTCCTGTTTGTTGAGTTGTGGGCGCACAATCTTCTACTTGTTCTTGGTCTTATTATTATCTTTGCTAGCTGATGCTGATCATGACTAACACTCGTCAACGGGAGCTTTTCTAATAAGGATTTGAGTTACGGATTAGTGTCGTGGATTCTAATGTCAGCTATCCATTAGATATGATAGCAGGTTGAATATTTTTCTGATATGCATGCACCGTATATCCTATACAATGTGGTTGAGATATTAGAAGTCCTTAACCAATTCTTAACATAAAATCCTAAATGGAGAATTTCCCCCTCGTGTATGTATGTGATCAGCTCCTCCACCGGTCTTCTTTCGGAAGCTGAGGGGTGGTTAACAGGGTAGCTAGACAACGCGGTAGGAAATCTACTTATTTGAATTGCCGTTGGCTTCTCCTGGGAGTTTTCATATCCAGGTACGTAAATGTATTGGAAACATAGGGTGACATGACATACTGGTTTTGCATAGCTTTATTTTGGATGAACTGTTTTTGTGGATCAATGAACTGTTGATTGAGATATTGTTTGTAGCCAAACTTATGAGATGTTATGCACCAGATGTACTGTCATTTTGGCAATTCAAAATTTTGTGTTATTACCTTGAATTGTTAAGTTCTTTCGAATCGATTATAAGATCTTTTTCGTTCTCATTTTATTGGAAAAACTTGAACGAACATAATACCCTTGGTTCTGCTAGATCAATTGAGGAAAAACAAGAAATTTTGACAAGAGTGGTGGTATTATAAGTTAACTTTTGACAGTTATCATGTCATTGTTTTGACTTAGACTTGATGTATTAATTTTTTGTTCTTATACGAAAGACTCTCTATACAAATTTCTTAAATCTTGCTGACTAATGATCTCAGGTTCAAATCCTCATGATACCTTAGTAGTGTGTGTGAAAAAATACAACCCCCCTCTCTCCTTGTAATTTATATTAGCTTGTATATAAAAAATATAAAAAAAAAACCTTTAACTATAAAAGGATATGAGAAGGTGGCACACACATTGTCCTAACTAATTGACCTAATAAGCGCCTCAAGTTGTGTTATTAAGTATATATAGAGAACCCATCACTTCAATTTTGTTTCAAGCGTTTGATTTAAAGTTTTAATTGAATCTTAGCTTAGTTGATTTATTGAACATGATTTGTTCAAAATTATTAATCTAGCCTAGTCTCGAGCCTGTTTGGTATCCTACTTTGATCAAATTTTATAAATTCAAAAACATATTTTAAGTCCAAAACCCAAAAAACCAGTTTGGTAGGTCTATTTTTAAAAACCTAAATCCAAAAAAATCACAATTATTGAAAAAGAAAAAAGTGAGATTGTACAGCTCTCTCTCTCTCTCTCTCTCTCTCTCCTTAACCATTGAATGAGTCATCAACGGTGGAGGAGGCTCCATCAAACTCATCCCCATATTGGATCGACGAGATCGAGACCATTCTGATGTTAGACGATGATGTCAATGACCCAGATCTCGTTGTCAATGACAGCGACTTTGGCCCATATCTTATCGGCGGCGTCGTTTGCAACTTTTTTTTTTTTTTTTGGGTGTTAAACTTGAGTTCATGATTCTTCATTGTTGGGATTGCTCCACCCTTACTTTTTTAAGGTATATATTTCACAATAAAGCATCTAATTAAAGGAATAAAATTCGTTGGTTCATCAGATAAAGAGAGATAGAAACATAGGTCTTGAGCTTCTTCTCTGCTTTTCCTTTTCTTTTTCTTTTTTCTCAATTAAAATTAATAATTAATTAGAATAAGTTTTAAGATTTTAAAAATAAGTTTGAAGTTGTATACCACACACACAAATTTTTAGATCTTTAAATTTGTACTTGAAAACTCATGTTTTAAAAAGAATCAAGATTTTTAAGTATGCAACACTGCCTCATTTGGAGGAGAGTAAGTTTATTTTGCCTACTCTTGATCACGAAAATGCTGATGTTACACATACTTATAGGTGCTTTAAAGTCAAGCTACGTGAGTATGATTGCAACGTCTTAAAATTATAGGGTATTTTGTTGAAATTGAACAAATTAGAGGGAGCAAAAACACCAACTAGTACTTTCTCGGAAATCTCCTAAATTGAAATGAAAATTAGGTCAAAACCTCAGGAGAATGTTAAGCAATCATTCTGTCCTTATCAGAAAGCAGCACTCTCTCTCTCTCTCTCGTAAAAACCCCAACCCCTAACTCTTCCACTGAAAATTAGACCAAATTCAGAAGTAATGTCTGACTATTTTCCAAAGGATATCATACAGGAAATCCTCCAGAGGTTGCCCGCCAAGTGTTTGATCAAATGCACCTTAGTGTGCAAGCCATGGAGGTCTCTGATTCAAAGCCCTAGCTTCATCCACAGCCACCTCCGCCGCACAATCCATTCCAACAACCAGAACGCAGCCGTTGGCCTCCTTCTGCTGAGGGCTTTTGCCGGCCACGATAATTGTACGCTTGACTCGTTGCATTGGGATTACTCTGAAACCGGTGAGCATTCCAAGCTTGTAAATCCTTACCCTTACATTAAACAAGCTATTTTCTCCCCAAGTGAAAGAGTTGTAGTTCGGGACTTCCATGTGGTAGGAGCTTGTAATGGGCTCGTATGCCTTGCTGTTGACTTTGCCTATGTTGGTTCCCACACAATCATTTGGAACCCTTCTGTTAGAAAGTTTGTAACTTTGCCTAGGCGTTGTGTTTCACTGAGCAAGACTGGTCAGCATAGAGCAAGCTATGCTTTTGGGTATGATTCGCGCACCAATGACTATAAAGTTTTGAGAAGTACGAGTAATAGGTACGGGAAAACCCCGTGTGAGGTTGAGATTTGGTCGTTACTCAGGGCCTCCTGGAAGAGTCTTAGTGCTGCTGTTGTTCCAGAAGATTTCATGTTTGGAGTTTATAATAATCGTAATGTTGTTCCTGGGAATGTTGGGCCTGTAGATAAACATGCTTTTGTCAATGGTTCTCTTCACTGGGTTCAACGCCGTACTGTAGGGGAGGACAAATTCATTTTGTGGTTTCATATGGGCAGTGAATTATTTGGAGAGATAATGATGCCTGAAGGTTTGACAAGAGAGCGTTGCTTTGTTTTAAGGTACGAGGAGTCCCTTGCCTTGTTAGATAGTGAAGAACTACAGGGAAATTGTTCTAAATTCGACATTTGGGTGATGAAAGAGCATGGTGTGGTGGAATCGTGGACTAAATTATTCACCGTACACCTGCACCGCCGTATGTTGGAGCCATTTTGTTTTACAAGGAGCGGTGAACTAGTGTTCAAAATGGGTGGTAGTGGTCGACGGCTGCTAAAGGTGGATCTTAAGACCGAAGAATTTAAATATTTTGGAATTGATGGATATACGTGTCACTTCATGGATTCTTTTGTGGAGAGCCTTGTCTTACTTGGCCAAGCCAATGCTATTTCTTACTGAGGAGCCAGCAAGAAGTAAGAACAGGTTTGGTTACACTCTAACACACTTGCTTTCACTTATCTGTGTTTTATTCCATATATTTGAAAATAACTACGGATAATGTATCATTGTTTGCAATATGCACACACTGAAATTTAAGAATCAAGATGTTGCATAAAATCCCCTGTTTTCACTGGAGTTGTAGTAATTTATTCATTTTTTCTTGTTTCGATAATTTAAATTTCTTTTACTTTTTCTTTTAAATGTTGTCCCACTATTTAATAGGTCACTGTGCATCAAAAAAACATTTTTTTTATTTTTTATAATGTGATATGGTTTAAGTGCAGTGGGTTTCTCTTTTTGTTTTAGCTTCTTTGAGGATTTTAATTTATCTGAGAATTTTCGTGAATTTTCATTTTGTTTTCTAGTAAATTCCTATGAGTTGCCATTGCAATTGTGTCTCTTTGTATATGTCAAGCCATGAGCAAGTGTTCTACAGAGTTAATATGTCCGCAATTCTATTCTTTAAGTTAGGCATAAGCAATAATGACTCACATTTCCAATGTAGTCCTGGGAGGAAAGCAATGTACTTCTATCTGCGCCAGTTAGGTTTGATTAGTTAATGGCCAAACAGTAATTTGGTTTTGGTTAATATGTTCTTAAAATCATTATAATTTGATCCACTTGAATCCCCTTTTATCACTCACATTAACATGAGAAATTAAGTTGGTATTTGATTTTCTTTGTTGCAGTAAGTCTATTAGTTCACCACATGAGCTCTGAAAAAATGGATCCTCTTCTACTACTACTAAAATCCATAGGAGTCCCATTTACAATTGTCCAATGACACTATGTTCTTCTCCACGGTGCATGAGAAAATGTTTGATAAGTTGGTCAATTGTTGAATTGATTAGCTTATTGTTGGGGTTAAGGATTAACTTGTCTAAGAATGTGTTAGTTGGTGTCAATGTGGATGTGGATGGGCTTGGGTCTCTAGCTAGAGATTTGGGATGCAAGTTAGGTGTCTAGCCGCAAAGCTATTTTGGTCTTCCCTTTGGCGGTAATCCTTGTGGCTTATCTTTTTGGTATCCTGTGGTAATTAAAGGTTGGAAGAGAGGTTGATTGAGGGGGCATGGCGGGTACTAATCTTAATTTAGTCGGTGTTGTTGAGTAGCATGCCTATTTGTTAATGTTCATTTTCCGGTTTCCAAACAGGGTAGATAAGGTTTTATAAAAGTTTGCTTACGTATTTTCTGTGAGAGGAGAAGAAGGATCACTTGATTGGCTAGAATTGAGGCTATTTGATCTTTCAACTGGAGGGGACGGATGCTTTATGGATTCTTTTGTAGATATCCTTGTCTTACTTGGCCAAGCCAATGATAGTTCTTACTGAGGAGTGGGAAATAGGAACCAAGCACAGGTTGGGTTTCAGCAATTACTTTCATAGTTTAACTTCTCTCTGTATTACTCCAAATATATGTTGGATTAGTTATGCTTAGAGCACATGATTATTATTTGCAACTCACAGTGAATTTTATGTTTGCTCTAAATTACATTCTCAGGTACTGGAAACTATTTGTAAAGAAGGGGAGGGCCGACGACAATTGAAAGAGATGCAAAGCTCCTTGCTCTGCAATCTGGGGGAATATTTCCTTAGTGGAAGAACCTCAATAGACTGGTCAGGATTGTCAGGAGGAGGCACTGGCCGGATGGAGCTCGCGTCAACAAGCTCAGTAAGTAGCTTGTTTGGGTCATCGTCAGAGGCCAGATTCTCGTACTGCACCAGAGGCTTGTTCATTTTCTTCTTCGTTGAGGGATTTAAGGGTTGTGGGTTAAGGATTTTGGCTGGGAACCATGCATTTTTGTAACCCTCTTCGTTGCTACAAACTTCCACCTTCGAATCCTTGCTCAGATGGGCTTCGCTCCTCACCATCACTTTCTTGTTTTCGCTCACTTTCTTTCTCCAGAGAAAGACACACTACTACTATATTTACTAGTGTTTTAGCAGCAGAGCGGTCAAATTGTACGACTCTCCCTCTCTCTCTCTCTTCAAATTGTGCCTTTATCTTATCTCTGGTGAAATGAAACAACTAATGGTAAAATTTGAACCATATATTATATATTTTTTTGTCTGAATTTAAACGATTTGTCGGTCAATCAAGTTTCCTTGGAAGCCACAGGACTGAGAGAGTTATTGTTGGCTTGGATGTTTTGGTTATCCGGAAGATATACCTAAAAACCCAAAGATATACCTTTATACCCAAAAACCCAAAGGTATACCTTTATACCCAAAGATATACCCAAAAACCCAAAGGTGGAAGTTTGTAGCAAAAAAGAGGGTTACAAAATTGCATGGTTCCCAGCCAAAATCCTTGACCCACAACCCTTAAATCCCTCAACGAAGAAGAAAATGAACAAGCCTCTGGTGCAGTATGAGAATCTGGCCTCTGACGATGACCCAAACAAGATACTTACTGAGTTTGTTGACGCGAGCTCCATCCGGCCAGTGCCGCCTCCTGACAATCCTGACCAGCCCTTAGAGCAAAGCTCCTCCCTTTTTTGTTTGTGTTTGTTGTTTGAAACTATGACTGTTCTTTTTACTTAATTATGCAGACTTATGTAATTGTTTTTGACATTTAGTCCAAGTTGGGTTCTTCATTTTTCTGTGTTGAATCCAACCATATAAAGCATATAAAATTTGGATTAATGATTGGAAAGTTACATGTTAAAAACGGAATAGAGGTCAAAGCTAGAAAACAGATGAAATTTGTTTCTCTCTTCTCTGCCAAAAAGATCGCTTAGTTTGTTGTCCGAAGAATTTCTTCTCTACCCAAAAGCGATTGATCACTTCTACAATACCTGGGTGATAAAGAAGCGATACAATGGTGATACAGTAGCGATACCGTGGTGATACAAGAGTGATACAAAATCTTGATTGTGTTTACCTTTGGTTTCTTGTTTTGTTTCATTTATTTTACTTTTCTTTACTCATTTTTAGTATTCGATTTGTATCTTACCTTTTTTATTGTGTTAAATAAGTGTTCTATATGTACTCAATCTAGATCCTTGTATAAGCCTCCAATTCCTCGTGGGAAGGATTCCGTATTTACAAATCTATACTCTAATAGATTCGTACACTTGTGGGTATTTTTAGTTGGATGATTAGCACAATAATTTGTGCCAATTATTAATACAACAATTTCTGGTGCCCAGGGAACTAGCACGGCTTATATGTTTTCTTTGAGTATGTTTAGAATATTTAATTAATTTTCGTTTATTACTTATTGTTTCATTTTGGTCTCAGTGTAAGTTTGTTTCTTTTGTAGGATCAATTTGCATATGTCCTTTGCGGAGCTAGACATCTCACTAGAGTGTACAGTAGCAGAATTTCGAGCTCAACTTGTGAGAGAAAGAAATATTCGACTAGCTGCGTCTACTCCTCTGCTTATATTGTTCTCGCAAGTTGAATCACTTGAATCAAACCCTAAGCGTTAGAATTAGGTCACTTGTTTGTGTTTGTTGTTTGAAACTTTTAGTGTTCTTTTTACTTAATTATGTACACTTTTGTAACTATTTTTGACATTTGGTTCGAGTTGGGTTCTTCATGTTTCCGTGCTGAATCCAACCATTATAAAGTACATAAGTAACCAAAGTCTGTCAAAATTGAAAGTTTGACAATAATTGATAAACATAAATCTCATTATCTCATTCTAATACAATAATTATAACACGTGATTAGGCCAACTCACATAAGCCATCTTACACAAAGGTCAATTTAATTTCCAGCATAATTATTTTTTATTTGTTTTTTATTTACAAAAGAAGATGCGAAGGAGACCTGTACTGAACCATATATAACCAAGAAAACTGGAACAGAGAGGAGACACAAAGAAAATTGGAAGAGACTATGTTATTTCCGATTTTATATTGAATTCTTTTATTAAGAGTAACCAATAACTCATACAAATATTTCAATCGTCATTGAAAGTGCTTTGATTTAATGGCCTCAACCTCATAATAAGTCTCAAATTTGAATCCCAAATTTATCTATAATTTGAACAAATAATGATGATATACAATGATTTGGAGGGTGGTTGTAATACTTATCACATTGTGGTCTTAATGTGGGGTATAAAAAAAATAGTCTCGCCAAAATTTTCCAAGAAGATGATGTCAACGACCTGAAGAAGAGAAATTCATGCAATGGGAAGAAACTGTCTGAAAACTTCCCTTTAATTTAGTCTTTTAAATAGATATAACATCAATTAACACACTACTTTTCTGTTTGTTCCATTGCGTGAATTTATTCTTCAGATTGATCTCCTTAGAAGACAGGTCAAAAGGTATCATCTTCTTGGCAAGTAACCTACTCATTTAACAAATAACAAAGTTTTCTGCACGCTTTCAAAGTTCTTTGACTGAAGAATTTAATCAGCCATATTCACTATAAAAAAAAAAAAAAATGGCAATAGTCACCATTATTTAGTGATATTTTGTGACATGAGCGAATGTCACCAAATAATGGTGACTGTTGTTATTTTTTTATAGTGATTATTGGTATACAATTGCAAATAATTACAATGAGAAAGTTTTTATTTTATTTTTGGCTTTTTATTACAAATGGTCCCCGAGATTTGCTAAATTATCATCTTTGGTTCCTAACGTTTTTTTGTGACACTAATGGTCCTTAAGGTTACCCTCTACACATCAAAATGGTCCCTGCCGTTAGCTTCCGTTAAATTTGCTGTTAAATTGCTAACGTGACACATGTGTGGAGCCCACACATCCAATGATATAAAACCACGTGGCTTTAAATAATATATATTTTAAATATTTTAAAACTTAAATTCATAAAAACAAAAATAAAAATACCCGCACCCTCCATTCTCACTATATCAGCGCCTTTCACCCCTCGCAGACCCACCTTTTGCCTCTCTCTCCCTCCTCTTCCTTCCTTCTCTATCTCCCTCTCCCTCTCTGTGTGTCTATGTCTCTTTCTCTCTCTCTCTCTTTTTTAAAAAAATTCTACAAAGCCAAGGGCTTTGACTTTTGCTTAGGCTAATGCTGCAATGCTTTGGCAGAACCAAATGGAGGGGCAATGTTTGGTTGGATTAGACTGTAAAAGTGAAGGAAGAGGAGAGAGAGAGAGAGAGAGAGAGAGTGTTTGTGAGGGGGAGGTGAAGCACTGGCAGAGGAAGGACAGAGAGGGGATGGTCATGGTGCAGTTTTTTTTTTTGGATTTAAAGTTTTAAAATATTTAAAATATTTATTTATTTTATTTAAAACCACATGGTTTTATACCATTGGATGTGTGGGCTCCACACACATGCCACATCAGCAATTTAATAGAAAATTTGACGGAAGTTAACGATAGGGACCATTTTGATGTGTAGAGGGTAACCTTAAGGACCATTAGTGTCACAAAAAAACATTAGGGACGAAATGTGATAATTTCACAAACCTCAAGGACCATTTGTGATAAAAAGCCTTTAAAAAATTTATTAAAAAATATTGAGTGGAAGAAGCTACTCTACAGCTATCAGAGCCAGGTTTCGATCCTGGGACCTGTGGGTTATGGGCCCACCACGCTTCCGCTGCGCCACTCTGATTGTTGAGAATCATCCGTCTGTAAATCAATTTAAACGCGACTGAAGTTTGGTAAACTTATTAGTTGCCTTTCCGTACTTCCCCTTTCCTCAACTCCATTGAAGTGGGTCGCAGAAGAAGAACAAGAATGAGGAGGCGACCTGGAATTGGCGGCTTGCAGACAGCCGCTGCTGCTAGGGTTTGTGATGATTCTTCTCCTTCATTGATTGCTGCCCCTAATTATTGGTATTCAATTAACCAAGCCATGCTGATTTTGCAGGACCAATATCGGTTGTTAGGCGAGAATGTCGCCAAGATCAGAACCGATCTCATGAAGGAACAGCTTACCACTTTTCGAACCCAGTTGGAAGATTTCGCTCGAAAACACAAGGTCCCATTTTGTCTTTAATCATTTTCAAATAGCAAATTATGTGAATTTTTTCTTGGTATCAATTTGTGTTGACTGTGGATGTGTATCGTACAGAATGATATTCGCAAGAACCCTGCTTTCAGATCACAATTTCATAACATGTGCACTAAGGTTGGAGTAGATCCCTTGGCCTCCAATAAGGGTTTCTGGGCAGAGCTCTTGGGGATTGGTGACTTCTATTATGAACTTGGTTGGTACTTTCTTCTTCATCTCTTTGCATATCTGCAAAAATTGGCTGTTATTATTGTTGCTAAGATTGTTTAGATATATATATATATATATATATGTATGTTCCAGGCCTCTGTTAAGTTGCAAATTCAGTGCCCAATATTTTGTAATATCTGGCTTTATATATATATTGTTGCGGCCAAAGTCTCTGCATTTTATATGGGAGTGTATACATATTCTAAAATGGAGCTCATTGGTTAGACAGGGGTACAAATTGTTGACATTTGCTTGGCAACAAGACCCCACAATGGAGGTTTGATCAACTTGCAAGAACTCTGCAATCTGCTTCGTCAGAGGCGAAAGAGTGATCGTGAAGCTGTGTCTGAGGATGATTGCCTGCGTGCTATAAGTAAACTGAAGGTAAATATGGTTAGCCTGTCCATCCATTACTTGTATAAGTGTCAGTCAGAAATTGATGTGAATATGAGATACTTCAGTTAGGAAGGCCTTAGACAAGGGATTGCCCCCAGCCCCCGAAGAATAAAAATAAATTTTCTGCTCCTATGGTCTTACTTTAAGAGGTTCACCTCCTGAATTTCGGGTGACTAGGCCTAAAGGGCTTGAATTCATGCCACATTTTTGCTACGGGACAGAACATTGTGGCTAGTGCTTTTAGGCTGTTAGCCTGGTGATTGCTGGAAGGCTGATTAAGTTTTGTTATCGTTGTATATAAGTAGTTGTAGTAGTAGACCCCTTTGATCTCATGTTATTGACACACTATATTTTATGATTTATTACGACTTTATCTACTCTTAAAGCATTTCATAAACTTTGTCTTAAGCAGTTCATATTATATCTCTGCAGTAGTTAGTACCATACTATTATGATCGTTGACTAAGTGATGCATTATACTAACAACTGTTGCTTGATTCCAGGTATTGGGCAATGGTTATGAGGTGATTTCTGTTGGAAAGCGAAAGCTTGTTCGTTCTGTTCCAACTGAGTTGAACAAAGACCATAATGAAATTTTAGAGCTTGCCCAGGTTGCAAATCTTTGTTTATCTTCCTGCTAACTTTGCCAGGAATATAAATTTGAGCGAACTTATTTGATTTTTTCGATCTAGATGGGTTACTTAAGCTTATGTTCCGGTTCTCTTCTCTTAGGCTCAAGGATTTGTGACTGTTGATGAGGTAGAGAGACGGCTATCTTGGACCACTGGTCGTGCAATTGATGCCTTCGACACTTTACTAGATGTAAGTTGATGACATTTACTAAACTACTCATGCTAGTATCCTCTCTTTCCCTTCAGTCTATGAAATATACATGCTAGGATTGCTGGGGCTCAATACACCCTTGCTTTTCTCAGGAGGGTCTTGCAATGATTGATGATGGCCACAAAGATGGTATTCGCCGATATTGGTTCCCTTGTGTATCTTCCATATCGACTCCAGGAGGAGCTGACACCTAACAAACATGAGGCTTCTCAATAATCATGGAGTTCAAAAAGGGTTCTGTGTGCATACTGAAGGATGGCTGATTTATCTGTGATTTCCTTTTGTAATACTAGTTGGTCAAACAGACTGCTGATGGACAATGTATTTCATCTTATGAAGGAGTCATTTGCATGGAATAACTCATGTTAATTCTCTCTGTGAAACAAATAGTTTTATTGATGAAGTATATTGGAGGAAAACATGATGCTCTGTAATGAAGCTGAACACAACTTTTTGTTTTATTGGCATCTATGATCATATATATAGACATCATCTCATCTCTTTCAAGAACTCTCAGTTTCTTCTGTCCATTCAGAGGTAGGCTCACTCCAAGACCTGGGGCGCACCCCTTGCTTCAAAAATAACATCATCTCCAATGCCTCAAAAACCTTATGCTTGTCCAGAAACCTATTCCAGACTCCACTCACAATGCAGTAATTGTTGTTGTAAGGCTTCTGGTGGTGCGCCGCATGCTGTGACCGCGATACCAAGATTCCCAAGTCTTGCAGTGCCATGACTACTGGCGGCAACTGGCTCTTCGTGCCGTGAGCCCAAGCATGAAATTGTTGGCAAAACATAATGGAACCTGAGCAACCTACAACTAACCCATGAACAATTGGATCATCACAAACGACGTCTATAGGAAGCACCATGAAAGTCACAACACGAGCCACAACATGTAAATTGTTCGCGAATTGGCGCCTGGTTATTGTCCATGGCCACTTGTGGTGACCTTGAAATGCCTCAATTTGGGCGCCAACAATTGGGGTTAAGGCACTACCGTAATTGTCAATTCCCCAGTGGTAAATTCCGGAGCCAAGGTCAGCCAACACATAGCCCACCAAGCCTGCTAAAATGGGCTCCAGCCATATGTGTGAATTGGCTGCACTAATTATGGACTTGGCTAGAGAAACTAGCACCATGGTGCAGCCACATGCAACCCACCATTGGCGGAGCCAATTAAGGCCCACAAGGGTCACTTGACCATTCTCAATATTTTGAAAACATTATATTTATCTATGTCATCCAAATTGTTTTATAGCTATACTTACTATTGACCCTTCTAACAAATGTAAATTGTCTACAATGAACATGAATATGATCTATATTTGATTTCATGTCTTCATATGTCATTTATACGTGTGTGTCATGGATTTTATTTGATTTTCTCATTCTATCTAAAATCAACTTTTGATACTCTTTCATCATCTTTAGGTTGCTAGAATTTGGGTTATACTTACTAAGATATTAAATTTGTGATATTGAAATTTAATCATTATAATGAATTCTTATATATATTTTTCCATAAAAACTAAGTTCATTGTAATTATAAAGCTATTTAAAGTTGACCCTCCTTGATAAAATTCCTGGTTCTACCACTGCAACCCACGCACGATGAGACCATGTTGATAGCAAACTTGGGTCATTGAGCTGGGGACGGATGGCGCCTCTGATTACTAGGTTGTTGGTGTTGGGCTTGATATTCGTTGTGAAAGAGCAAATCATACTTGTGCTGCTGAGGGTGGGAGTTTGGTGCTGGGGATTTTGGCGGAACTTCGTTTCAGTTGAGATAGAGATTGGAGGGTGTTAAGGAGAAACCAACATTAGAGCCTATTTTGGAGAACATATAGAAATATTTAGTTATATACCCATTCTTAGAATGGTGTCGTAGTTATAGGAGAAGTGTGGGGGGTAGAATTATGGACCATTGGGATAGGATTTGTGCATGAGGAAGTTCATTTATTTACCTAAATAGACTATTAGGATAGAATTTTTTGGTCAACTTGCAATTGGATTAAAAACCTCAAAAGAAGGCAAGGGCAAAAAAAAAAAAAAAAAAAAAAAACCACAAGGAAAACACAACCTAAAAACAACCTCTATAGAGTTCGTGCACGAGGAAGTTCATTTATTTACCTACATGGACCATTTGGAAAGAATTTTTTGCATCTTTTTTTGGTCAACTTGCAATTGGATTAAAAGCCTCGAAAGAGTTTGTTGTCTCAGGGCACGGACAATGGCGGATCTAGGATCCGTAACCCAAGGGGTCATAGTGTAAGGCCATCTCCAGTCATGGGCCATAGGCCAAATATAGCCCTAAAATAATGCAAAACTCATCTCTAGTCATGGGCTAAAAAAAGTTTGGGCCAAATTTGGAGAGCCACATTTGACTCTTTAGCCCTCCAACTAAGCCAAATGTAGCCCAGTTTTGGCCTAGGCCAAATTTTTTTGGTGAGTCCAGCGCATGTGCTTTCCAAGATGAGAAAGTATCACGCGTGGGCAAGAGCACGAAATATCTAGCGCAACTGCAAATCCAACAGCCAATATTAAAGGGCCATTAACATCATCAATGACGTCAGCTAACAGTTAGGTTTTTATTTTTATTTTTAATAACCTTTTTAAATGTTTTAAAATTATTTTTGTTTAAAATATATATATAATTGGTTTCTGATCATTGGAGGTTAGAACCATTGATTGAAAATTTATTTTTTATTTATTTATTTAAAACCTTTTTAAATGTTTTAAATTCATTTTGTTTAAAAAAATATATAAATTAAAAAATATTGTCTCTAAATCGTAGTTTAATTCAAACAATACATAGTTGTGAAATATATGAGTGTTGTATCATAGTTTTTCTCAAAATAATAAAATATGAATGACCCTAAAATATAGCCATGAATGGCTAGGGATGGAAAAATTTAGCTATGCACTATTCTTTAAAAAATAAATATTTTGGAGGGCTAAATTTTTAGCCTTGGACTACATTTAGCCCTATGATTGAAGATGGCCTAAATGTTCCAAAAAAATAAAATAAAATAAAGAGAGTTATTTTTCCTATCTTTTTTTTCTCTTCCAAATTTTATTATTTATTAGACAAATATAATTGAATGATTTCAATTTGCCATATGATGAGCACATAATTATTACATGTAATATCTCTTAAATGATATTTGTTTAATTTTGGACAAATTGCTTTGATACTTGGGTATGTCACATGTGAGGTGTTGTTGTTACAAGGATGGCTTAATCAACTTGGACTATGCACAATAAACATGCCATGGGTAATCACGTGGGTTGGCAACAAGATGATGAAAGGCTACCTTTTGGAGGTTTGCACATGCCAAAGGAATGCAAAGAGAGAGATGGTTGGCCACCAAAGGAAAAGAATAGCAAATGAAAATTGGGTATTGCCCAGCCAACCAAAAGGAAATATAAAGAATGAGAAAGTGTGGAATAAAAGGAAAGAGATAAGGAAATGGAATCATGATGGCAATAAACAATGGAAGTGGAGCATCAATTGAAGAATTAAAGAGGATGAAAGCTGCGAGAATGGCATGATGGGATAATAATTTATTCAAGACATATTGCAAGGTTGCAACATGAGCTTCTCCTATAAATAGAGAGATCCTCCACAACATTCAAGATATCAAGCTCCACAACTCTTGAGCTTTCTCTCCTTCCTCTATCTTTATAGTTCTAAATTTCTATTTAAGTTTTATGTATTTTATGGGGAACTAACTCCCTAGCTAAGGCTAAACTTTTAATATGAGTGTGTAATTTTTATTAGTTTGATCCAAACTTAAGCTTTAATGTGGATTTGTAGTTTTTGTTCAAATGGAATTTGTAGTTTTCTTTTTAATTGATTGATGAATGTTTGATAATCTATTTCATGGGTTCAATCATGTTTCCCATTGTGTAGTAAAAACTTTCATGCTTTTAAAATAGAAGAGAATTACTAAAGATTAATAGAATTTTGATGAAGATTATTATTTGATAGTTTGTTGCCAATGGTACAAGTTATGCTTAGAATACTTCTAAAGGAAATTAAAAAGAGCTTTAATTATTTTGAACAACTACCTTGGAAAATATTTTGTGGATCAAATTATTAAGAGTTGCATGTTTATGTTAAAAGTGGAACCCCAATGCCTTAGTGTTTTAGTCAATTAAATTTTCTCTAAATCAAATCTTGCATAAATCCACCTCTCAATCACACTTGTTCTTTTTTCATCTCTGTTATTTTCTTTACACTGCTCTCTGTAGATACGACACTCGGACTTTCGAGCTACACTACTATACAATACCTTCCCTTGGGTTTTGCAAAGTGGTACAAACACCATCTTTTTCAATTTGTCATAAACTCTGGAAGCCCAAGTTCAGCGCATCTGCCAACTAGAATGGTAAATAATTTGGGAAGTGAGGGTTTGGGGGGAGTTGATCCAACAGACTGCTGATGGACAATGTATTCCATCTTATAAAAGGAGACAGTTGGAGGGAATAACTAACTCATGCTACTTTACTACCACTTCCTTTAGAAATGGTCAACAATCTCTTGAAATAAATCTTACAATATACATTAAGAAATACTAGCCTCTCCGCACGCGCTTCCGCGCCTGCGAGAGGCCTTTTAAAAATATATAAAAATATATATATATATATATTTTATTTATTTATTTTAGAATTAAAAAAGATAATGGGTAGTTGTTTTCCATAAAAATAGAATCCATTATCCGATTTTTCTTTTAGTTTTAATTTTTTAAAATATGAAAAAATGTGAATTTATCATATTATTCTCATTTAATTAATAATTTCAATTCTC